TAAGACCAAAGAAATTTTTTTTGAAGTTAAATGACATAAAACGAGAAATGGGACATGAGTGATAGGGGAGAATTTTTAAATTAAGTCCAGCAGAAGAAACCGACGATACAGAACAAAAATCTTGCTGGCCAGAGTAAATAGCAAAACCAAAGCACTTACGAACCAGCAGAGCTCTTGCTTCTAAGGTCTGAGAGGTAAGGCGAGTCGCACATGCCTGAGGCTGGAGTACTGGAGAAAATTACACAGCGTGCCCGAGAGAGCCTTTCCCATTGGTTTTCAGTGGTTAAAAATTTTCCAGGAAGGGAGCATGATGTCTGTTTTCAATGTACTCCTGTATCATTTGCTCTCATTTTGCCAGGCAATCAGATCCTATTATTATTATTTTTAATATGCATGCTTTGCTTCCTCCAGATTAGACTCCCCCAGTCTGTTTTATACTTACTCTATATTATCCTACAGCCTCCAATCTATAATCCCGAAAATAAATGCTTAAGTGGAAATGGAAATTCCTGGTCCTGTAGGCGAAATTACTTATCATCTTAAGCTCCATATGTTCCCTAGTGACTAGAAGGCACTATGGAAGCTCTTTCTATGTTTAAGAGAGAGTGAGCAGGAGAGATTAATGAGAAACTGTCACTGGAGGGGAAAGAGACAATACAAGACCTTCCAGATAGGCGTTCTCCAGCGGAGGGCTGGGGATTGAAGAGATGTGAACAGTCCTGCCAGGATTTGAGACTAGAAACACTTTGCTGAGTCACACTGTCTTTACATTGATTACACTCCTATTCCTAGGCAAACTATCGGCCTGTTCCTTTTTTATTTCTTGGGAAGGTGCTAAGGCAGACAGTCCTGGAGTTCCCTGGAAAGGAGTACGCTGTGAGAGCAGAGCAGGGACGGCGGTCACTGAGCACCAGTAAGCCAGCGAGTCACTTCCCGACCGACTCCCAGGATGCAGATACGCCAGCTGTCCCTGTGAAGCCGTCACTCACCTTAAAAACAAAAAGGAAAAACCCTATTGCCTGGGCGCTGGGTCACATTTCTAACATGCTGATCACTGGGCTCCTAGCAACAGTGCTTTCCTCATTTGAGATAGTGACGGGGCTCACTTCAGATGATGGTGTCCATGACCACAGCATGACTCCACCAGTTAATCGGCAAACTGTTTTATTGTGAAATGTGGTTTTCATAGAGGACATGGGCTTGGGATGGGGTGGGGTGGGGTCCTGATGCAGGATGTGGTCAGCCCAGCTCATCAAAGACCACAGGGCTGTATTATTCCACTGCATGTACCTGGGACTTTAATATCTGATTTATGAGTCCAATAAGAGTTTCACTGGAAGGACAGCATTCCAAATCCTGAGTACCTCCTGAATTAACAACAGATCAGGATTCACCATCATGAAGTGTCCTCTACTCTCACCCCCATCCCTACGCAGCATCCACGGACCTGGGGAGAGAGGACGGAGAATCGTTCCTCTGCCCCACACACACCCACATAAAGGGCTTTTCCCTCTCCTGTCGTTAGCTGTCCTCTGGAGATAGCAGACAGACTCGGCAGTGGGCCTGTCTCGCAGCCCCTCCAAGGACAAATGAGGGCTGAACTGCCCTCATGTACATCTGCCGCGAGGGCTACGAGCAGGCTCCCCACAGCAACACATCCAAGTGCAGCCCCAGAAGGGAGCAACAGAAACTTCTTTTCAAGGGCCAGTGTTTTGCTCAAAAATGAAATGCGAACCTATCACTTTGAAACATTCTTCCTG